GTACGTTAATTTATCGTTCATGTTCACCTGACACATTCGCGAGTCGTGTTTTCAAGAAAAAAAGAAAAAAAAAACGAATTCTTCACGCAGAGAGTAACAGGTCGAGCTCGATCGAGTGAAGCGCGGACTTCCACGACGGTGTACTTTGACATCGAGGCGAAATGTTCGCGATTTTTCATCCTATCGCTCGATAAACTCGCTCGTGCACTCGCTCGGTCAGTGTATCCACAATCCGTAGGAGAATTACGTTCGAGGCGTCGAATACGATTAAGAAGATCGATGCGGTCGTATAGCTCGAGTTTTACGAACTTTGTTTCCCTTTTTTCTGTTTTTTTTTTTTTTTATTTTTTTTACGACAGATGAGAGCGGAATTCGCTATAACCAGTGATGAACGGACGATGAACGGCCACGTGTAGCGAAAAGCTCGAATCGTTTCAGACAATTTGCGATAGCTTGGAATTTTCGTATGTCTTGATTAGATTAAATTCGACTGCCGTTAGTCTCGAGTATTTCAGTATTTTCAGCTTCATCGCGAGTATAGTATTTTCAATCTGATTTAATTTATTAATGGCAGACTGTAGGAGATCGTTCAAATTTAATAGACCGACGTGAAACGAAGTAACGTGGCAAAGTGAAATTTTAAACAATGTCGGCATGAAGATTTCACATAAATTACACACCTCGTGCAATGTTCGTTGGAATGTTGGCTATTCTTGTAATAATGTCAGAATCATCGAAATTTAATCCATGATAATCTAAAAATAAATCCATGAAAATCCATAAAAAGTTTAAGAGCTCTCGAGAGTTTCAAGCCACTTTCGAAACCATCCACTGACTAGAGTTCACTTTCCAGCGAAAATTGTTTTCAACTTCCATTTTTTTCTTTCTCACACTTACGCGTTGTCCTCGCGCGTCAAAATCAAGTCGGTCTCCTCGAATTGACGGGAACGCAACGTCTGGCGTTTCTAGCGTGGCGCGGCTAGTTGTTTATCGCGCCGTGTGATCCTCGGCCGGAAACAAGCGGAAAGCTATTTTCACGCGGAACGGGCAAAAAGAGAGGAGTGACTCGTCTCGGAGCGTCGTCGTCGCTGGAATGCAATAAGAGAGCTAAAGGCGGCAGACGAGAAACTCTTTGCTCTCTATGAAAATTTCTAGCTTTGAAACTTTGCTAGCTATGAAAATTTCTATTGGCTCTCTCTTCGAGGGGGGGTTCTTTCGCTCGCGTCGCCGACTATATACCCTCTTGCTCGTGCTTCCGCGGCTTGAATCCGCGTCGTCTATGAACTTTCCTACCAATGGGGCGCGCGGCGCCGTGGGGGGTTGGACTGGGACACGGGGGCTTGGAGGTGGAGGGAAGAATCTTTTGTTTCGAATCAGTCGTTTCGCGTGCCGGCGCATTTACCTTCCTTTTGTCTCGCAACGAGATTCAACGCCATTGTCGAAAACTTGGAGGATCTCGGGACATAATCGGCGCGATCGTCGTCCATTTAGCTCGTTGCGAGTTCGCCGCGCGAAACGAACGGGGCGGGATCGATGTTAACGAAAATGAAAAAAAAAAAAAAAAAAGAAAATGCGTACACACCTACCTGCTGGCCGCTTAGAAAAGAAAGGAGAAAAGAAACGGAAAGAAAAGTGGAGAAATCGGGAGGGAACGCAGCTTGTTTCAACTCCCGAAAGAAAGAGAGGGAAAAGAGAAGAAAAGAAAAGAAAAGAAAAGAAAAGAAAAGAAGAAAGAAAGAAAAGGTTCAACGTAAGGTTAAAAACAAAAGGCGGTTTGCCGAGATGAATGATGACGTTTAATCGTAAAATCAATAAAATTAATGAATTAAATAAATAAATTAAAAATGTTTATACACATATTTATATATATAATATATATATATATATAATATAATATAAAACATAAATAGGGTCCCGAAGACTGCTAGGGGAGCACAGCGCGCGTCTTAAATGCCCCCCTCTTCTAACTTTCGTTTCGCTTCGCGATCTCCTTCTCGCTACGTTCGCGAAGCCGTCGAGAATTCCGGAAGAGATCGATCCGCCGTCGTGCCCGCCCCGAAATATCATCGTTCCACTTATTTTTCTCGGTAGCTGGTCGGAAAGGATGCGCGTTCTTACGAGGCAGGAAAAAGGAAAAAAAAAAAATAAAATAAAATAAATTGTACCGCACGACGCGCGTAGCAAAGCAAGTCCGGCGCGATGAACAGAAGATCGTCGGATGTCGTTTCTCAAATTGATCTCTCTCACTGTCTCGAAAAATCGACGAAAAATTTCGAAACACTCGAGCCGGTGCTTTGGATCACTCGGTGCAATCCAATCGTCTCGTTCGGAAAGTTCTCGACCAACGTGCCCGTTTCTTAATCTTCGCGATATTTTTGTTCACTCTGTCTCTCACTCTCACTCTCGCTCTCACTCGTATTCATTTTCTCTCACATTCTCTCATCCTCTCACTTTCTCCCCATTTCTTTTGAACCCCATTTCTCTCTCGCTCCCTATTTTCATTAACTACCTTAAGTCTCTGCTTTAACTAGTCTAACGCGTATTACATTATCATATTTTACATAAAATCGGTTTTTGCCTAGTGGTCTCTTTCTCTTTCTCTCTCTCTCGCTCTCGTTCTCTTTTTGTTCTTTTTTCCCTTGGCTCGAGTGGCCAAACGTCCTCATCTCTCTTGGTGGTCGTTTCTATATGTACGTGAAAGAGGTTACGCCGCGTCTTATCAATCGTTGTTGGAAAATTCCCGAGGGAAAAACCGCGTCGTTGTCGCCGGAGGACGCTACGAAAAGAAGAGGAAGAAGAAGAAGAAGAAGAAGAAGAAGAAGAAGAAGAAGAACCGATAATGGAGACGATCGACCGACGCATCGGGCCGATGATAATTTCGCCGGGCGACGAGCGAATTACGATATTTATTCCGGTCGCGCGACACAATCGATCTACCGAGGCGAGGCACTCTCGGTTTGTCCTCCCGGCGGACGCGTAAAAATACGAAGAATTCTTCGGCCAGACGTCGAACTATATATCGTCCGGTCGAGGAGGGTTTTCGTTTCTGGCGTCGTTAGACCCCAGAATCTCTCTCGCCGCGAGCACGTGCATGCGCGTTTCCCTTCGCCTGCAACTTTACGCTCCACCGCGCGTGGCCTACATTTTCCAACAACGACACTACGACGATGCTACACGCTCGAGAATCGTGGCGAACGAGAAGTCACCGAGGACGAGTAGCGCAGCAACGGGCGTGTCAAGCGTGCGATACTCGCTTCACGAAACACATCGTCGCGAGGTCTCGAATCGCGTCCACCGTCTTTCGTCTTTCGTCCCTTCCCCCTCCGATCCTTCGCGACGTTTTCGAGCATGACTCTCGAGTAGGTTCCGCGGTTCGAGATCGCGTTGCTGAAAATCGGCACCAATCGACCAATAAAGTATCATCTTAAAGTGATCTTTAACCTCTTTCTCTCTACGCGCGTTGCGCACTCGGTCTCTCCCTCCTTTCCTCCCCCACCTCTTTCTCTTTTCTTCGTACACGTTCACGTAGACATGCCGAGCGTTTCAACCCCTTTCTCACAACGCCCTTTTCATCGAGACCATGGGCTCTTTGGTATTATTCTCCCGTAGAGACTCCGAATATACGTGCGACCTTCGAATGCTCTTCTCGCTCGTATCCCTGTTTTCTTTTTTCTTCTTTTTTTTTCTTCTCTCTCTCTTTTTTTTTTTTTGTTACGTTCTTCATCGGCGGTTCGCGATGTTTCGAGGTCAAGCACCGCTTCAGAATCACGAGCGTTACTCGAACGCCTCTCTCTTTCGCCTTCCCGATATGAAGCTGAAGAGGGTTTTTTTCGGGACAGGTAAGAATCCACCGTTTCCTCTCTCTCTCTCTCTCTCTCTCGTCTCTCCGTTTTTCTCTTTCGTGCATATACACGCAAACACACGCAGACACGCACACGGTTCCAACTGTCGAATTTGTATCGTTTCCTCCCGGCGAATAGAATATGTTCGATAACGAGGCGCGAGGCACGTGCACACTTTTCTAACAGAGAAGTTAAACAGCAACTAGACGAGGCTAGGAAAATCGATGAAGATGAATCGAGGCTGGAGAAATGGAGCGATAATAGAAGAAGAAACTGGTCGGACTGGACCAGTTCTGGAAACGCCGAAGAAGAGATAGAAGAAGGTACGAACGTGCCAAAAATTCTTTTTTTTTTTCTTTTTTTGGAACCTGTTCCTGTACGTAACGACTCCGTTTTAATGCCCGACAACAAAAGTTCCCGAAAAGTCCGCGCGATACAGTCACTCGCGAAAGCATTCGAACGCTGTAGGAATTTTCAGTGAATGTGTATGTATAATATACATACACCATGCGTTACGTGAAATATTTGAAAAATATTTTCGCGCGAGAAAATTTTTCCACCGAGATCGTTATATCAGTAAGCCTCAAAATTCTTGCAATATATTTTATATTTTCACGTGTCACGTGCTCAAGATGGCGTACAGTTGATACTTCGTATCTACGGTGAATATTTCGTATTCAGATCGGTTTCAAAAAAACATTTCGAAATACTTTACACGACATAGGCATTTTGCATATTAAAAATTCTTCGAATAGCGAGCGTTCGAATACTTTGCGTTCGCGTTCTATCTTTGTTTTTCTCTTTTTCTTTTCTTTTTTTTTTTTTTCATTTTCTTTTCTGTTCCCACTGCTCAGAGTTCTCGTCGTGTATCTCGCGGTTTGCGTCTCGCACGATATCGAAATCGATCGCGCTATCTGGATCGTCTCCACGTGTCTCAGTTACTTGGTCGCGCGTTGGCCCTCTCACGACGATTCTTCTCGTCGGGCTTCTCGAGAGGCTTCGTGTTTCGACCGACCTCGCGCCGAGTACACCGAGTTCAATCGTTCAGAATTAAGTGTACTCAGAATGGAAGGGCCCCGCGCGATTATCGCTAGCAGTAGTACGAGGTCGAGAGTCCCAGTTTGCAGGAAAACGGCGCCCTACGCCGATTGTACACACTTCCGGTGCTGATGACGTCCTTCGTCTCGCACCGTAGACCCGTGAAGCCTTCCGCGCATCTGCAATCACCAAACAGAGAAACAATGAATTAACAAAAAGCCGGATCTTTTAGGATTTTCAATCGTGAGATTTTACAACACTAGAACAGCATTCGTCGAATCTAAGTAATATTTAAATTAGACACAGACTGAAAGAAGATTTAAATTTCGTTCTAGAGATTTATGAAATTCGATAAAATTCGCCCAAAAAACTCCAAGAGCAATTTTTAACTGTAAATTGTTGCGGTCGCCAACGGGGGCGAACGATGCCAGTCGTGAGTTAAAATTAAAAATCGTTTAGCAGCCAGGCGGACGATTTCTGATTCTGCTGCGCTGATGACCCTCCTGGTTTCTGGCTTACGAGCGCGCGAGTGCCGCAAACGACACGTCTGCCAGAGCGTTCGTACGTCTCGTCGCGGTTAGTTAACCGTGCTATAAATACCACGACGTCGGCATAACATTATTTTTCCAAAGAAACGTCTCGGACACACATCGAGCTGTCTCCGCTCGAGCCGTCCTCTCCTCCCTTCGAGTTTCTGCACCTCTTCGTTGCGTCTCGCGACGCGAAAATTTACCGACTGACAAATCGAAGAATCTGTGGAATAAACTCGAGTGCGTGATCGCGGTGGAACAATTAAAAGGCAACGATCAGAAACGTCAAATGTGCATGCCACATATTACGAAAAACGAAGACGAAGATAAACGAAGCTTTGCTTTTGTATCTGTGCGTTTGGCCACCGTAAAATAACATAAAATTTGAGAAAGAAAAGTGTGCGAAATTGACAGAAGGAACGCGTGAGGATTAAAGTCGATTAGATTCAATAGGTACTAGAGAGATCAGATATTTTCAAGCCAAGATCAAAAATATAACGACGTCAGTCTCTGACAGCAGTGCTAACGAAATTTCATAAAATATCTGTTGTCCCCGTGAAATGTTTTCACAAATGTCCGAGCAACATATTTACACGATTTACATGACTTTACGCGCGTTGTTTTCTCCCTTTTCTCCGTAATTGCGTCCCTTTCTTCGCACATGGAATTCAATTCGACGAGAACAAACGATTCTTTCTTTCTTTCGAGTCGAGCGTTTTCCCTCCCTCCTCCTCCCCCTCCTCGATTATCGACCAGTTTCCAGGAACACCTTTGTAGCGGGAGGAGAAATTCTATTTGCGAAGGAATTTCAAGAGGAAATAGCACACGGCCGAGAACAGCGGATCCAAGGATCGTAGATTGTCCCATTGATACGATCCTGGGGGAAATCAAGGGGAGCACCTTTGCCGCGATCTCGCGGTCCACGCCGCGCGATAAAACATATTTTCGTCGCCGACGAATTCCCACCGTCTGAAATCGCGTTTCCATTATTTCGTGAAATCGCGCGTTTTACGCGGAGTTTTACGCCTAGGTTTCCTGACGATTTCGCGGAAAGTTCACCAAATTATGGGTAAAGCTTCTCGTATCTGAAGTTACAAAGGTGTTCATTTCATTGTCAGATAGTGGGAGAGCAACTTTATTAAGTTGTCTCTGCAGTGATATGCAGCGAGGAGCGTAACTGTATCAATGACAGTGAAAAATTGTGGACAATTTACACTGGTTTGTACAAGCTTTGTAAAACAGATCGTACAACAATCCACTTGGCCTCATTTTATCAAAGAGCGAAGCTTCTGCTTTCATAATCGTGAGTTTCTTTTGATGATGATTTTACGTGTAATAGCAAGGATATTCTCGAAATTATAAAAAACTTCGAACACATGTGAGAAATTTCGTTTCGTGATCCATCGTCATTTTGAAGACTTTGAAATAACTCCTTAAAACTTGTAGAATTTTTTTCCTTTATTATTTTACCGAACGTTGAATATTAGGCAAAAATTCAAGAAATTCTGACATTTTGTCACCTAATGTCTTAAGTTCAACGAAATGGTGAAAAGAAATCTTCAAAATTCTTTAATGCCTTTACACGCGTTTTTGAATTTTTACAATCTGTCAGAAAAATGTGTCTTCAGTTTCCCGTCCGCTGTATAATGTAAAATCATTTTCGGAAAAAAAAAAAAAAAAAAAAAAAAACTGACGTCCATCAAAGCTAGAAGCTCCGCTCTTTAAAATCCAAAACCAAGTGGATTAATTTATATAATTTTTTTTTCTTGCTAAGTTTAAATTATCAATTTAAACAATTTTTCATCGTCATTGGCACAGTTATATTCTTTACTGTACAATGTATGCACAAGTCTCGCGTTTTTCACATTAAAATGGCCATTCGTGTTCATCTTGGACTACCGCGACTTCTTTTCTATCTTTCTCCTTCTTTCTCCTCTTTCTTTCCTTTTCTGACATTTTTTTCTTCTTTTTGTTCCTCGCCCCTCCTCTTCGTTTTTCAAGCGGCAGCCTCGCGAATTTACGAGGACCACGGACTAAATGTACTTGGCGGTAGATTTAGCGTTGGACAAACCAGAAACAACACCGGGAGCTAGTGCAATTTACCGTTGTACCCATTCACTTGAACCCATTAACGCTGGCCGGCAACTTCGGCCCCGTTTCGAACGTAATGTGTAATTGGCTTCTCATTGAGATTTATCGTAATCACGCGTGTTTATCGGCGTACGCGAATTGCCTTTTACGAATTGCGCTGTCGAATGAACTCGCGTCGATCGGTGATCGGTGACTTTGGCCGCGACGAAATGCGCGCGATCATTCCCTCGTTGAAATTTTCACTCTTTTGGAGAACAGCGTTTCCTGTCAATTTCCGAGACGACTTTCCTCTCGTGCTTTCTCACGGTATGCGGAAATTTCACGTAGGTAAAATTTATATTGTTAACAATTTATATTGTTGAGTCTCTGTTCGTTGCAGCAACGTTGGACAAATAGTCTGTTAACCATCTAAGTACTGACGTCCGATATATCGACACCTGTATAATATCTGTGAAAGCCAAATGTTCGATGTATCGACGGTCTCTCACTTTTTGTTTTCAGTAGCTCTTGAGCTCTTTATTTGATTTGATTAACTTTGAAAATATAAGAACTACAATAATTTATATGAAAACGTGTGAAATTAAACTTCGCCTGGCGATTTAAATCCGTCCACTAGCGAACCCCGTCCTTAGAAAGTTTAGTTGACAAGCAAGAACTATACCTGCTATATCGTTCTGTGCATGATATTTCTCGAAATTTACAGACACGTTTAGCACATGGTATTATTTTAAAACTTAAAGTTACTGTAAAATAAATCCACCCTCTTCCTTTTTCTTTATATTAGTCAATGTAATTTATCGTTCTTTATCAACGTCTTAATACATATCTTTTTAGAATCTAGTACTGCTCGAATCAAAGTATAAATATAAATCGAAACGTGTCAGAATCTAGCAGTACTTACTTAAATCAAAATTATATCAAACATCTAGGATTTAGAAGTATCCGAACTAATGAATTCCCATTTCCAACTATTCGCGTAACAGTTGCCAGAAACATGTTTTACATATTTGCACACTTGTCTTAATACATATCTTTTTAGAATCTAATACTGCTCGAATCAAAATATAAATATAAATCGAAACGTGTCAGAATCTAGCAGTACTTACTTAAATCAAAATTATATCAAACATCTAGGATTTAGAAGTATCCGAACTAATGAATTCCCATTTCCAACTATTCGCGTAACAGTTGCCAGAAACATGTTTTACATATTTGCACACTTGTCTTAATACATATCTTTTTAGAATCTAATACTGCTCGAATCAAAATATAAATATAAATCGAAACGTGTCAGAATCTAGCAGTACTTACTTAAATCAAAATTATATCAAACATCTAGGATTTAGAAGTATCCGAACTAATGAATTCCCATTTCCAACTATTCGCGTAACAGTTGCCAGAAACATGTTTTACATATTTGCACGCGTGTCCAGACACTTGTCTTAATACATATCTTTTTAGAATCTAGTACTGCTCGAATCAAAGTATAAATATAAATCGAAACGTGTCAGAATCTAGCAGTACTTATTTAAATCAAAATTATATCAGACATCTAGGATTTAGAAGTATCCGAACTAATGAATTCCCATTTCCAACTATTCGCGTAACAGTTGCCACAAACATGTTTTACATATTTGCACGCGTGTCCAGACACTTGTAGATAATAATGTGTGTAGGTGGTCGACAATTTTCTACCGTAATTAACGCAGTGTGTTCGCGTTGAAGTAAACCTGCTCGAACCAGTTAAAATGAGCGGCATGATTTCGAAGATGGGTCAGACACGGGCGCGTTAATTAATATTTTCAACCGACAGCTGCCTAGTTTTAAACAAAAAGCGTCCCTCCGTACCGACAGCAGTCGTTAAAGTGTGATTTTTCCGGATGACAGGTTTTACGGGAACGCGATTTCTCGGTTGAGCGTGAACTCGCGATAGCGGCGTATACCCTTGTACATCCTAGGTTTGATAAACTCGTTTCCGCGACGTTGCAACTGCGTGCTGGAATATTTATACGCGCTTCTCTACGCGCTGTAAAAAAGAAAGGGACGGCGAATTCAACTTTCTTGTTTAACGTAAGATTCCCGAGCACAGTTTCTTCGCGAGCGACTACGCTAAAGTGTCCCAATTCGCGGCTTAATATCAATTCAATATCAGTACGATCACTGTCATCGAATCAACAAGGATTTATCGAGAGAAAGGAACGTGTAGTAGGAGTAGGAAGAAAGTTTATTGTACAGCAGGACCTCCGTTATGTGTATTTCTTGGTACAAACACGCGTACATATTGTAATGAAAGTTCACATGCTTCTCACGCAGAATGAAATCAATTTACAGTGATTTAATTTGAAATTGACGTAGTGTAAAGTCGTCAAAACGGAAATGCGTAAAAAAAAAAAAAAAATGAAATATTTAAAGAATTTGAACGTGGGAAATGTGCAACAAAAATATTATACTCCAGAATTAACCATCGCCAATGTAAAAAAATCGGAAACGTGCTCTTTGTTTTGCAAACGTTTTGCAACAAGTTGAATCATCTGAACACTTTTGCCTGTCCAATTAGT